AAACCAGTCAGGGCTTCTGGACGTTTTTGTATTAGCAGGAGTCCCTGCGTCCAAACTGAAACTCTCAGATCGTCCTCCCAAGTTCTCAGTATTTTATCGTCTAAACGTCCCCTTGCCATAGCTGCTTCCCCACACGTTCTAATGGATAAGCTCCCAGGGGGGCCCCAGTAGCTAGGCTGCTGACTGCTTATCAATGACAACAGATGTAAAATGATGACATCCTGGCATGACTTACTTCATTCTTATATCAAAGCCACTTTTTTTTTTCTTTGTCATAAACAGGTGGATTGGAAATCATATTAAAGCAACACACACCATATGCTGAACTTTACTGATTGATTTTGGGATGTGAAACCAACCTCCCATTCCTGGGGCAGATCTCATCTGACCGTGAGATACCATCCCTTTCACCTATTGCTGGGTCTGATTGCTACCGTTTTGCTAAATATTTTTACCCGTTTTAATCCCTGCTGTATCCTCAGAGCCTAGAACACTGACTGGAACAGAGTAAAAGCTCAACAAATAAGTGCTGAATGGGTGAATGAATGAATGAATGAATGGATGGATGAATCGGAGAGCTTCCTCTGGCTGGCCCGCAGCGGAAGGGCGCTTCCTAGGCAACAGCATGTCCCAGAGCACCGAGGCATGAACGACTGTTGCATCAGCCACTAGTTAGCTGTGTGACCTTGAGCAAATCTACCCTGCTTATCCATAAAAACAGAACGAAAACAGCAGGCCACACACATTGTGAGTACCCAACAAGATAACATACATGAAAGACCTTGGAGAAACTGCAACCCAAAGGCAGCACAACTATGAACAAGCAGGTGGGGAGGCCTGTTTATATGTTTAGCTCAGCCCTAGATGGCAGCGCCTTCCCCCCCACACACCCCCACCCCCACCCCACACACACCCCGGAAGAAGGCAGGAGGCTGGGTGCTGCCTTGGCGTCAGAGGCCTGGGTCCCAGCCTCAATCACCCCTTTGAGAGAGCATCCAAGGACAGCAGTATCTCCTTGGGGTTAGAATTTTACCAGGTGGGCACAGCTCCCTCCTGGCTGACGGGGTCGCATTACTTTCTCCTCCTCTTTCCTTCTGCCTCATAAATCTTCAGCGAAGACCAACACGGACTTCCTAAGTAACCAGAGCAAGGGACTTGGGAGACCCAGAAAGCGTCGGAATCACTTTTTCTCACTGCCTGCCTTCTTTCCTTCCTTTTTCCCATATGTGGAGTGCTGTACGGCTTTCCCTTTCTAGGCCTGGGAGTAATGGTTTTAATATGGAGTGCTCACTGTATTTGTATTTTGGATGACTGCCCCTGAGAGTTGTTTTTAAAGAGCCAGCAATCAAATCCCAGCTCCTGTGTTTGCACACATTCCCCTTCTACTTAAGCTCTCTGTGTGTTTACACACAGGATGTCTAGCAGCTCTGTCTGGTCAAGGTACTGCTTTGACCGGAATCCGCAGCAGCCGTGGAAGGAACACAGAGAAGGGGTGGCGCTTTGGGAGAATTTTAGGAGATGGAAGTGCCAGGCGACTGGTGGACTGTTGGGAGAGGAGAGAGACAGAGAGAGAGAGAGAGGAGTTCAAGGTAACATGAAAGTTTCTGGCATTGGTGGCCGTGCAGATGGTGGTGTCATCATATTTCCAGGACAGGAAATAAAAGAGGCCTGGAATGATGAGTTCAGTTAGGGACATTGACTCACTAGTTTTTTGGGTGTCACTAGCCTCAGATACTTTGCCAGGAGCAACTGCAAGCAAATGAAACAAGGTCCCTGCACTCCTGAAGCTGACATTCCACTGGCCAAAGGACAACTTAACCAAATTGATCAGCAAAGTAGCGGCAGAAACCTACACGAGGAAATTACAACGGAGGCATATGATAGACGTGGTAGCCAGGGAAGGCCTGCGTGTGGGGACCTGGAGGTGAGAAGATGCCAGGCTGAGCTGGACAGTGACCCAAGGACATACAAGCAGAGAAGCAGTCTGGAGATGATCACAAACGATAGGCCAGAAAGCGTATTGCAGCATGTAATGCTATTTCTAGAAAAATAAGAAATATACAAAATTATACTAGGGGTCCACTGGGGGTTTTAGAGGTTTTGATCGTGGTTTTTCCCCTAAACTGGGTGGTGAGTACAGAGCTGTGAGATGTCATATGTAACTTATATACCTTTTTGCACATCGTATCACAAAGTAAAGGAAAATATAGACTAAAAAGGTAAAAAGGCCAGGGCCTCCCCAGCCGGCCAGGCCCAGGTTCTCAGCCTGCGAGCAGGTACCAGGCTGCTGAAGCCGGTTCTCCCTCCACCGCGAGGGCCCAGGCTGGCCCCGCCCCGTCTCGCGCTCCAAGCGGAACCCCGCCCCGGCTGTGCGCTAGCCCCGCCCACATCCGCCCGTCGACCAATGGGAACGGAGATCTGGGTCCACACCCCCGCCATTCACCGCCCCCCCTTCTCGCCCCGCGTGACGTCGGACCCGGCCCCCGCCACG